AGGGCCATTGCCAAGTAGGAATGACGCATCGAAATTTCCTTGCCAGCGTACCCCATGTTAAATGGAAATTTGCTGCGACATTGCATGTGTCTTTGAGAAAGGTGACCCTGCTCAAGGACCAGGGTGGATCCAGGTTTAAGGTGTATCCTGCAGGTTTTAGGAAGTATCCCGGTTTAAGATAATTTGGGTTTAAGGCATTCCCGGTTTAAGACAATCTGGGTTTAGGGAAGTTCCAGGTTTAAGGTTATTGCTGCTGGGTATAGGGCGTTCCTGCTGCCTGAGTTCCCGTTGAGTTCTCGTGGAATTCAGAAAGTATTTTGGGCATGAATTGGCGAGCAGAACTTAGATTTCCCCAGAACGTGTTTGTGTACAGGGCCGGTGTGAGTTAAATAAAGAATTGCTGTTTGAATCTACAAGGTGTGTGGTGGCTCGTGATTCTGTGCCCAGCCAAGACTGCGGCACCTCTGGACATAGGAGATGAGTTTTGGGAAGGCCCACGAGGGCGTGAGCCAGCATTTGGGACTTTAGGCGTTTAGGCTTCTCATCTCGGTTATGATAGACCTTAAAAACGGTAGCAAGAATCTTGGTCTGGGGAATGAGGGGGCCTCGTTCTAATTTTTTAAGTTTGATCCAAATACCAGGAAAATTTTGGGCAAAGAAATAAGTCATCAGTAACTGTCGGCCGTCAGGGGTTTCTGGGTCCAAATTAGTGTATTGCAAGAGAGACTTAGTAAGGTGGTCCAGAAAGGCTGGTGGGTCCTCGTGTTTACCTTGGATAATTTCCTGAAGTTTTTCAAATTTTAACTGCTTTCTGGGATGCCCTTTTTAGGCCTGCTAGAATACAAGGGTGAAATGATCTCGGTTTGTGATGCCATTGCTGGTGTTGTAGTCCCAGAGGGGATCTTGGTCTGAGACTGCTTGGGGCCCAATGGGATGTGCCGGATTGGTCTGATGGATCTCATCTGCATGAGTACAAGCCTGTTCCCAAACCCATCTCCGCTCCTCAGGAAGTAAAGTATTGGTAAAGACATCATGGATGGTGAGCTGGCCTTTGTTACTTATTGGAATTCTTTGGTCTATGGGACCGGGTTGGTAATATATAAGCCTAGTTGTTTTTCAATTTGGGGAAGGTGAGCCATAGAGAAGGGGACATGTACTCGGTCAATACCTTCCCAGGTTTCAGCACCAAATGAAAGGAAAGTGACCATGACATTCAGAGCAACCAAGAGATCTTTATTGTGGCGGTGTCTGATTGACAGGGAAGGAAGAGAGAGAGAGAGAGAGAGAGAGAGCGCAAAGTAAGGGGAGGTAGGTGGAGAGGGCTTGGCAGGAGAGAGTTGTTTTTTTTTTTAAAGAGAGAGAGAGAGAGAGAGAGAGAGAATTTTTTAATATTTATTTTTTAGTTTTCGGCGGACACAACATCTTTGTTTGTATGTGGTGCTGAGGATCGAACCCGGGCCATACGCATGCCAGGCGAACGCGCTACCACTTGAGCCACATCCCCAGCCCCCAGGAGAGAGTTTTTATAGCCAAAATCTTATGAGGTCTCTGGGTCTGTAAGCTGCTTTGTTGGCGTACAGTGATTGGCTCATACAGTAGTTGCTAAGGGTGTCATCTTCTGCCCTCAGGCAGACAGGGCAGGTCAGAGTAGGTTACCATTGCACCAGATTGTTGGGGGTCAGTGTTCAGCCTGCCCTGCAGCTAACAGGATCTAGAGGCCGTTAAGCAGCCATTTAAAGTCCAGAACATATTAAGGCCAGATCTGATGGCACAAGTGGATAAATTTTGGGGGTTTTAGGGCCGGGGTGAGAGAGAGAGACCCTAGGTTAGCCAGGAGGCAGCCTGGGGACTATGGGAAGTAATGGGTGGGGAGCTGCCCATGGTGAGACCTAGGAGGTGAGTTTAGAGGTGGGGTGTCCCCTAGTATCCAATATCACCCAGTCAAGAGGATGGTTACGCTCAGGGGGTCATCACCATGACTGGGTAAGAGTGGGGGGGCAGGGCCCGTAGAAGCTCTTGGGTGCCCAGCCGGGACTACATAGGGGCAGAAGCCGAACACATTAACCCAAAGCCGAGAGGTCTCACAGGAACAACCCCCAACCACCCTTAGTAGTTTTTTTCTCAAAACCCAGGACCCAAATAAAAGACCACCTATAGACCCCATCGACAGTAGGGATCAGCCGTATCTGTGAAAGCTGTGGCTGGGGGTATCCTGGACTACATGGAAACCCTGGGATGGTCAACGGTCACTTCCCAGGACCTGTAGGTGGATAGGTTGACTGGAAACAAGGGTCATACCTGAAATGTCCGGTGGTGTGCAGAGGGCATTCGGCAGAATGGAGGGCCTGGTCCCATGATGGAATCAGGATCGGGGCCTGGGGACACTCAGTGACCCTCAAAGAGGGGAGCCGGCACACAGGGGAACCCAATTCCAGGTTTCAGCACCAAAATGAAGGGAAAGCAAGGACCCGGGAGATGGGGGATCGAGAAATGAAAGACAGAGACCGAGCAGAGACACATGAGAGTTTATTTGTCAGAGCTGACAAAGGCCAGCTCTCCATAGGCGGAGAGAGGCAAAGCAGGGTTCAGAACTTTTATGGGGCAGGCTCAGGGATTAGAGCCGGGCAGGCCCTAATGCTGGGGGTTAAGGGTGGGGTTGGTATGACAGGGTGATGAGCATTTCTCGGAAAATCCCTTGGGTGGAAAGCGAAATTTTTCTTAAAAATGGTGACTGTCACTTAAGATGGCCATCCAGATTCTAAGCAAGGACCTTACAAAGACAGATTCTTTAAAGAAGCTTCTGGCCTTGGGCCAGAGCTTCACAATTTCAAAGAGAAGACGTTACTAATTGGGCTCCATGGGAATAGCTGGTTTTGGAGGGGGGTTCTCCCCTTATGCTATCCTTGAAGGGTTAACTTGCTCAAAACAGTGAAAGAAGGAGCTGCTTTTGTGTGAACTTCTGCAGATTGTGAAATTCTGAGCCCCTCCCCCTACACACTGGGTATAAAGTTCTGGAACTACCTGAACTTTGCAGTTCAGGGGGACTAATTGTTTGCAGTGAAAGCTGTTCCCTCTGAACCTGGTTGCCACCATAAATAAACAATAAATATGCTTCCTGCTACCTTGGTGTCTTGTCTGGTCAGTTCCTACAACAGTAAAGGTTCTTTAAAGAACAAGTTCAAACATGATGTATGGTGTCCTAATCCCTGCTAACCCCCAGATTGACATCCAAGAGCCGGTTCATATGTTCGTGGGCATTTACTACAACATAAACTCAACAGGGATTTTACTAAACCTCATTTATTCCTCCCAGCCATCCAACTAGGCAAGGATTGTCGTCTTCAAATGAGAGACATATTTAGGATAGGTTAGAGTCTCACCTAGCTGCTTCAAAAATCAGTGATCTACCTAGGGCTGAGTGCTTCTGAAGGGACTGCCACTATTGCACCTGAACATGTTGTATCTTCCACCTCTTACGGAAGGCTAGGCGACCTGTTTGCCACACAAACAGAAGGGCCAGATGCCCGATACAAACAGCAGTCCAGCAGCAGAGCGGCATCTGAACATTTTGGCATGTTTGAATTGGAAGGACACCTCCATTCTTTTTCCTCCTCAACACATAGCCACATACAGGTCCCTTCACTGAGTTGGCTCTCAATCAAGAAAGTCAATAGAGAGAGGCACAGTAGCAGAGCCTGGTGGCCCGGTGGCCCTTGCCGGTCATCCCAGCTACTCAAGTGATTGAGGCAGGAAGGGAATTTCAGCTTTAAGGACCAGCAACAAACAAATCATTGTGAGCAGAACTACAGACACAGATAGGGTATGTTCGTGTCTTTCCACAATATCAGAATTTATCAAATAACAATAAATTCACAAGCTGCGCCAACTTCATCAGCTTTAATTCACCAAGTACTCATGGGTCACCTGGTATCATGACTGTGGCAATCACAGGTTCTTTTATTCCCTTCCAATCTTAATTCACACATCAAGTCACACAGCGGACTTTACATGATTGTTCATAAAGCCCAGAATACCTAAGAAAAGGTTAACCCCGGGCACTTAGAGCTGTTCAAGGTAAGGATCTGGAGGGAGGCCATTTTTGAAGTGGATTGCTTCAAGCAGGAAGATCAAGCTAAGCTGAAGGCCTAGGGACAATTGGAAGTTTGTCACCTATTAATCTCAAGTTGCATTCACCAAGTAATCTTGGTAACAAAATGGGCTGGTGTGAACTGCCAGTTCTACGTTCTTTTATGTAGTTCAGTGAGGCATCAATCAGAGGTCCAGTGAATTTGATATGCTGACAGGCCAAGTTTCTCTGTCATGGGTTTGATATGGCCATGCAACCACGTATCCCTGATTTAATTTGATAAATGCACAGGTGATAGTTTTTTGTTAGCATACTTAATTTACTTATAATCAGCTCTGATTTAAGCTTTCTGATTGTGCTGTGGAGCTGGGGTTATTCTTTTAAGAAGGTTCTGTATGACTAATATCTGGTGGTTATCTGCTTGCTCAGGTAAGTTACCAAGTCATTCTGCCTTAGCACTTGAACTCAAGATGGAATAGCTTGGGACAAACTGGTGCTTTATAAAATGGAGTAACTCAGGTCTAGGCTCAGAGCAGGGCACAGCTGGCTGCCCACACAAACCAACTTCTCAGTTCAGCATACCAGCAGGGTGTCCTGCAGCCCAATATAATCCTGACACTGTCTTTCTTGAAATAGGACCAGCTCCCACAAATTAAATCTCAGATCTCATAACCTTTTTTTATTTGTGGTGCTGGGGATCAAACCCAGGGCCTTGTGCATGTAAGTCAAGCACTCTACCAACTGAGCTATATCTCCAGCCCACTCATAACCTCTTAATATGCACACAGTAGCTGCTAGGGACTTTCAGTTTTCTTTTTCTTTGTGGTACTGGGGATTGAACTCAGGAGCATGTAATACAGCCACATTCCCAACCCTTTTAAAAATTTAAAAAAGCATTTTTGAAACAAGGTCTTACTAAGTTGTTTAGGGTCCTTTGAAGTTGCTAAGGCTGACCTCGAACTTCTAAACCTCTTGCCTCAGCCTCCAGAGGCACTGGGATTATAGGTGGATGCCACCTGGGGTATTTTCTGTGTCCTGAATAATTGGAATAAACCATGACTTTCAAAGGCAGTCTCAAGGGCATAATGTTGGGTATCCTTCATCAAACCATCATCCAGAATGCTTCAAACCCCACCCCCTGCACCCTTTGGCCTAGATGATCGCTAGTTTTCCCTCTCCAAGTGTCATGTGAAGAGTGGGTCATGCAGTGAATAGCTTCTCCAAACTGGCTTACCTCACTCAGCAACATGCAAGCAGGACTTATCCGTATCTTTGCAAGGTTGATAGTTCATTCTTTGACCTGAATTACTCCATTTTATAAAGCACCACTCAGATTTTCTTACAAGGATGATGGTTTTACAACTTGGGCTGAATTGGATTTGGGTAGATGTGGCCTCTATAATAAAGCTTCAAGGTCAGCCTCAGCAACTTAACGAGGCCTAAGCAACCTAGTAAGACCCTGTATCCAAAACAAATAAACTAATTAATTAATTTAAAAGGGCTAGGGATGTGCTCCTGAGTTCATTTCCCAGGACCAAAAAGAAAATGTCCCTAGTAGCTACTGTGTGCATATTAGTATTAAAGGCCACAGCGTGTATTAGTGGCCACTGTGTGCACAATAAGTTAATATTAGAGGACACTGGGGAGATAATGTCTTAGTAATGAGAATTTATCATATGGGGCTGGGGGTACGGCTCAGCGCTTTGCATCTCTACACCATTCGAGGCTGCAGTGAGTCAGGAAAGGTACTTCACGCCCTCTGGTGGCCACCAGGCCTCAGCACAGGCTGCTGGTAATTCAACGGCGCACATGCGCCCCCTCCTGGCGTTCCTGCAAAAGGAACAAATTTTTTTTTTTTTTTTTAGTACTAACAGGCATATTTATAGGAATGAATGCGTATATAAAAAATTTTTAAAAATAAAAAAATCATGATTAATCATAATATTACAAAATATTACAAAAACAAGAACAAACAAAATCCAAAATCTATGGAAGAAAAAATCAGTAAAGATCAGAAAAGTAATAAATGAATCAGAGACTAAAAGAATAATAGAAAGCATCAATGAAACAGTTGGTTTGCTGAAATTATAATATTGACAAACCCTTAGCTAAACTGACAAAAAAATGGCCAAAATAAACAAAATTAGACCCCCTAAAAACAAATCTTAACAACAGGTACAGTGAAATTCAACAGGTACAGTGAAATTCCTGCAAAAGGAACAAATTCTTTCCCTACTGTAGTTAGATTATTCAGTGCCATAATTTTGGAAATTCAAACTGAAATGAAACTCACTCCCATTCCTTTTTCAAAAAGTGATGATGGAAGAAGTATTTGGAATGAAGTAATGTAGACACAAACTTCAAAGTTTACACTAATTTATTAAAAATATTTACTATTTACTAAAAATATTCTTTAAACAAATTAGAGGAAAAACAACTTTTAAAACTCTAGAAGGAAAAGAAAAAGAAAATCTATGAGACCTTGGACTTGATGAATTTTAACATACAACAACAAAAGCCAATTTGCAAAAGAAAAAGTACCGATAACTTGGACTTGGTAAATTTAAATGCTCTACTCTGTGAAAGATTGTTTAGAGAAGAAAGACATGTCACAGAGGAGAATAAATTATCTACAAAACATGGATCGGAAAAAGAATTTGTATTTGAAACACATAAATCTTTTTTTCTTTATATACAAAAAACTTAAAAATGAGCTGAAAACAGGTATTCAAACAAAAAAAAAAAGTATGCATTCTTTTCATCTGTCATGGTCTTTAAAATGAGGGACAGGCTCAGGAAGAGTTCCAAAAAATAAATCTGGATCCAAATAGAAAAAGAATTTCCCCCAGAAGCGGCAGGTGGTGAAAGTGAAGCGAGCCTGTGGATTGGATTGTCATGGAGAAACCATGCCGATTTCCAGACTTGGAGGTTATGTGTTGATTAGTTGTGAGAGTTTTTCTTTGGGCAAAATGCAAGCACCGTTTTAGGTAAAACTGCAAATCTCTGAACAGACACCTGAGCAAAGGAAAATACAAAGTCGGTGGTTAACATCATATATCATTAGGGAATTGAAAATTAAAACAATATTTATGCTGGGTGGGATGGCACATGCCTGTGATCTCTGTGGCTTGAGAGGCTGGGACAGAAGAATCACGAGTTCAAAGCCAGCCTCAGCAACTTAGGGAGGGCCTAAGCAACTCAGTGAGACCATGTCTCTAAATAAAATAGGGCTGGGGATGTGGTTCAATGGTCAAGTGCCCCTTAGTTCAATTCCTGGTACCCAAAAATAATAATCATCATCACATTTTGGCAATTTCCCAAAGATATATGATATTGAGCATCTTCTTGCATGGTTTTTGGCACAGCTACTAGAACTGGCCTGTTCTTGTATGATTAATGGCACCTATTAGAACTGGTAAACTTTTTAAAAAACAAAAAAACAGCAGTTCCTATTGTTAGAAGATGAGAGGCAGTAAGCACTATCAATCATTGCTGGTAGAATGCACAAGAGCACAGTCACTTTGGAACACAGTGTGTCAGTTTTTTTCCAAAGCAAAAACAAGTCTAACCTTATGATTCAATAATGACACCCCTAAGTGGTCTATATTTAGACAACTGCTTTAAAAAACTGGTGTCTAAATATAAACCAGCATGTAATTATGTACCACCGCTCTATTCCTACTGTTCAGAACTTGAAGTAATCAGAATGTCCTTCAGCAGCTGAGTGCACAACCAAATCAGAGCACATCCATATAGTGCAGTATATTCAGCAATACCCAGAGGAAAGGAATGAACTGTCAACCTTGCAAAGACACAAATACAAAAGTCCTGCTTGCATATTGCTGAGTGAGGTAAGCCAGTTTGAAGAAGCTATTCACTGCATGACCCACTCTTCACATGACACGCAGGAAGAAGGAAAATTACAGAGGTGATAAACAGGCCAATGGGTGCAGGGGGCAGGGTTTGAAGCATTCTGGATGATGGTTTGATGAAGGATACCCAACATTATGCACTTGAGAATGCCTTTGGAAATCATGGTCTATTTTAATTATTCAGGACATAGAAAATACCCCAGGAGTCTGGCTTGGTGGCATATACCTGTAATCCCAGAGGTTCAGGAAGCTGAGGCAGGAGGACTATAAATTCAAGGCCAGACTTGGGCAACTTAGTGAGACTCTGTTGCAAAATTTAAAAAAAAAAAAAAAATTTAAAGGGGCCGGGGCTGTAGCTCAGTGGTAGAGCACCCACCTCGCAAGTGTGAGGCACTGGGTTCAATCCTAACACCACA